ATGCCATGGGAAGGTCAGGTGCACCTGCTCAGAGTGAGAGCAAGAAAACAGGTCCCAAGTCACTCAGAGGGAATAGTTACCCAGTTGTTATAGCTAACGTGCTCATCAGACCACCACCAACTCAATACGATGAATATCATTACAAGCCCCGTTTTTCACAAGAGGAAGCTAAGGGTCAGAGAAGTTATATAACTTGTCCAAGATCACACAGCTGGTAAAGTTAGGATTTGAACAGGCAGTATGGTGCCGAGGAAAACCCTCTAACCCCAGGGATGGCAAATGTTTTCTGTAGAGAACCACCAGATAATAAATATTTCAGCTCTTCAGACCAAAGGTCTCTGTCACAACTATTCAACTGCACGGCTGTAGGAGAAAGCAGTCACAGAGAATATGTAAATAAATGGACATGGCTAAGTTCCAATAAAACTTTATTGAGAAAAATCAGGCAACTGTCTGGGTTTGGCCCACCTGCTGTGGTTTGCCTACACCTACTCTAACCTCTAAGTTTTGCTCCTTCTAATATATTGGTTGCCTGCAATATGTCTGACCACACAATAGGAATGGAAAAAAATAATCATTAATAGTATTGACTACCATTATGAAAATAACAACTTTGATTGCTGTATTTGATTGCACTAAACAGATGACCCAAGTTGTCTTTTTTTTCCCCAGAGCTATGTTCGTTTCTGAGCTGAAAGACTTTTGTATGTAATTTCATCTCGCCGTCATCCAAAAGGCGGATGCTACAATAAATCCTCCTCTCCGATGGGATTTCGTCAATCACATCTACAATACAGCTTGACCCCTGCTTTCAACTAGGGCAGGCGTAGATGTCTGTAACTGCTCCTGGGTCACAGCACAGTGAACCACTGCCGTGCCCAAGGCAGTGATCAGCTCATGGATTTCAGCCCAATTCCTGAGGGCTGGGGATGCAGAAATGTGCCCCAAAGTGTCTGTCAGAAATTAGGAGCCCAGGGATCAGGCTGGCGTACAGAAGGACATTTAAGCATCGGAAAGGTTGCAGATTCTAACAGGGTGGTCCTGCTATGGGGGTGGCAGAAGAGTGACTCAGAAGCCATCAAATGGCAGAGTCCAATTTGCTCCATTATGACGATGGGGTGCATCCTTTGAGTAAGAGGGACCATACGTAACTGGAGCTGACAGAGATTGAGAAAAACTCATTTTTAGATTGAAAAGCAGCGATCAGTCTCAACAGAATCCGTTCTACTCAGTTTTACCTCCTGCACTTTCCGGAAGCTAATGCCAGCCAGCAGTGTATTCTCCTTCCCCCAAAGTTCAAAGGGTGAGATGTGAACACAGGCAGTAAAAAGCCTTGAATGTCTGTGGCTTATAGGGGTCGTAATTCTTTCCCACAAAGTTACCTTTCCTGTTTCTATGAATTACTCTTACATTCTTGTAAGAGATATGGTTTGAGGTATTTATGGTGCATTCAATTCTGCTATCATTGATTTATTGAATGAAACCAGCTCCAGGATATGATGGAAAGGCCCTAATTCCAAAAACTCTTACATCTCTGCACGAAGAGCTTTTTCTGCCCTGTTGGCCTCCCGCAGATGACCAGCCGAGATAAACAGAGGGCACTCCACTCTGTGTTGCAGTGTGCGTGGTGATGTGAAGGAATCAGTCAGACAAAAGCAGATTATTACAGTGTCTGAGAGAGATCAAACAGTGCTGGCATCCGCACCCACGCATGCCTGATTTACAGGCGAGCTGATAAAGTGCTGCAGCTCACTGTCAGGAGAACATGACAACTCCTTGAGCTCTGTGGATAAATTATTGCTGAAGCCCATGATAACATTTCTCCACCTAGCAACCAAACATAACAGGATGTGGCTTTCGGTACTAGGAGCCAAACGATACAAAGACGAGACACCCAGGAGCTCTCTGAGCTCTGGAGGCGTATTGGAAATGGAATAGTGAAACAGCAGCCTCGTGAAAACATATACAAAGTCCACCAGGAATTAATAGCTCTGCTGAGGATTCTAAGACCCTTCCTATCTGTGGAGGTGCCTGGAGGAACGTGTTCTCTTTTATGAAGAATAGTGCTCTAACCAAAACTTACCTTCCCTGAGCATTCAGTCTGCGCCAGCAACAGTGCCAAGCACATGGTGTTGCATCTGAGTGGCAACCCCAAAGGTGGGTCCTGTAAGTCTGGTGATAAATGAAGTCGACTGGACAATAGAATAGAATTAAATGAAGTCAACTTGGACATGCTGAGAAAAGTGATCCCTTTTCTGGTTCTTTTTTGATTTTCCCAAATGTATCAAGGAGACAGCCTCACTGGGGCACTGGTCGGTCTCAAACAGCTGCTGACACTTGAAAATCTCCTTCCTAAACAAAGGGCAAACATAGCTAGCTAGAATCTGTGAGACCAACAGTATTTTGCTTTCACTATTTTCATTTTTAAAATCATCATTTTTTTCAAGTGATACTGGTTTTCAGTTGGAGGTTATATCAAGTGTCTTTTTTTTTTTAATGAACGTACTTGCAACATGAGCTCTATGAAGGTAGAGTTTTGTGTTATTTGTTCACTGCTGTGTCTAGATAATAGATGGTCAGTAAATATTTGTTTGATGAAAATAATTAAATAAAAACACTAGTAGATGACAGTATAAGTGGTACCTAAATATGGAAAAATTTGTGGTAAGCATGCAAGATGGTACGGAGACAGCAAAAGATGTGACTGTGGTATTCAAACAACTGGTGTTGAGGAACACCACAGTTTGCTGTGATCCTACAGGATCGGAAGTGTTCTTTACCTTTTGGGTAAGGAACGTGATGCTCACAGACATTAGGTAACCCATTCAAAATCACAAACCTCTATGTGGTAGAGCCTGAACTCAGCCTGAACCCTCCATCTCAGAAGTGAGCTCAAGTTACTCCACTTAGCTTCTTCCCTCTCACATAAAGCACTGCTGAAAGAAAGGTGACTTCAATGAACCTGTCCAAGGTCATGCAATGACCACGTAGCCGGGCTAAGATTCCAACCCAGGTCTGCCTGGGTGACCTCTCTTGCCTATGGCCCCTGCCTCCAAAGAAACTCATTGCAAATGATTGTGCAAACTGCTGGTAATTCGATTTTAAGTGGTAGCTAATTAAAACTTTGGGTCACACCTGCCTTGGAAGCTTTAAATGTATTCCAGAGTGTGTGTATATATATATATGTGTGTGTGTGTGTGTGTGTGTGTGTGTGTAAATATATACATACTCTCTATATATACATATACATATGTATATACATATATATATATACTCTCTCTATATATATATACATATACATATGTGTGTGTGTATATATATATATATATAGTAAATGTATAACACCATGTGGTCAATAAAACAGGAAATTGGCCCAGCACTTGAATGCATCTAAGCCATCACTTCAATCACCAAGGATAGTGGCCAAAGGTGAGAACAATAGCCTCAATAGTGATTAGTTCATAAACATACAAATAACCACTTGCACAAATGGAAAAACTGAGTCCTTTCCTTACCTGTTTCCTACCAGTATCAAGATCAGCAACTGTTACTGGTAATGAGGAAGGAATCATGTCAAGCCTCCCTGGGAGGGGACCAATGAACAAAAGGGATAAGAATCCATTAAAGTTTAATCTTCAAAAAGTTGAAGGCATGACTCACATACCAATACAGAATGAACACGTATCAAAATTTTTATTCAACTCACTAATTAATGAGGCAACCAGTACAATGGCAAGGTGGTTCAAAGGAGATCAGGAAATGCCGATTTATATTATAAAATGACCAAAAGGATGCTGTGATGAATTTGCTAGGAGACACAAAGGTGGGCAATGTCCTATAAAGTCACTGAACAGTAACAGCTTGAGGTTATTCCCCCACTCCAACGCTCCCCCAGACAAATATCTACAAGTTAACATACAATAAGTTACCTGGTTCTAAACAAACAGCAAATTGAACACAGATGCATTCTCCTAGATATTAAATAACCCTTGGTGTGAGTTACCTGCTTTTCTTGGGTGCACAGGAAAGAACAGAATAGGAATATAGGACTAAACCAGTGGGGGGTGATCTAAGGATGACATTGCTTTTAGCCCAGAGGTGTCGTGATCATTCATTCTGACATGGTCTTTGCATCTCTATTTATAAATAAGACTCCTGTTTGTTTTCTATTTATTTTTATCATTCTCATAGTTTACTAACTTACTCTCTATTTTAGCATATCTCATGAATTCCATCCATGCCCTATAAGAGTCATCCTCATTCATGACTTAGTCTTAACACAGACCTGTGAGTATCATATATACCTCATAAGACACTACCTTACTTACCATCAATGCTTAAAATTCCTTTTGAGTTTCATCCATTCTGTTTGGTTTCCTGTCTTGCCTAGCAGATTCTAATATACTCAAATAATACTGCAAACCCACATTATAAAAGACCTAAAATGTTGTGATGAAGGCAAGAGACTGAGGGAGGAATGACTCCTAGAGTAAAAGAAGTTTAAGAGAAAGATTAATCAGATACAATTTTTTAAAAAACATTTGAGACAATTGAGGGAATTGAACTCTGGCTGGATACTCGATGAAATTATCATATATTTTAGGTGTGAAATTGTATTTTCTAGGTGTGAAAAAATAAGAGTTTTCATGTTTTAGAAATGCGCACTAAGTATTTATGAATAAAATTGCATGATGTCTGAAGTTTGCTTCAAAATAAGCCAATGTTTTGCAATTCAGATCAATAAAGTTCTTGAGCTTATGCTAAATTGAGTTTTACAAACTGAGAATCATGACTGCTTAGCAGGTAAATTGATTTGCCGGTGTTTGGCCAGCACATGTTTGATGATGAACAGAATAGACAGAAAATACCAGAGTAATATTCTGTTGTAGTACATTTTGTTTCACAAAACTTTTGTTTCGATTGTGTGTCTGTGTGCACACACGTGTGTATGTGTGTTAGGAGCATATGAAGCAAATCACGGTGTTAAGTGTATCTCTTACCATGGATTGCACTTAATGAAGTTTGCAGATCATAGTTGAAAACAGAGTCCCGATAGGCAAGTCGGATTCAAGAAGCATAGGCGTGGTCTCCACTTTCCAGAAGGGACAGACACGAACAGACAAATGGGGTGGAAGCCTAAGAACTCTGCCAACAGTGAGATCCGAGCTCTGTGGAGAGACAAAGGAGGTACTGACTCACTGGCATGGGCCTCACAGAACAGGCCCTAAGCGAAATGGGTGTTGAATGATAGAAAGGATGGAAAAGCATTAAAAGGCCATCCGTCAGGGAGGCGATAAAGTGGCACAGAGCGTGCACACGCACAGGGTATATCTGGGCAAAAGAAAGTAACTGATAAGGCTGTGACCCAGCTGTGAAATGAGGGCAGCGTGGGGCACAGCAACCAGTTGAGGAGATGGATTCAGAGTGTTTTATTCTTCCAAAAAAATCCGATGTTGTGACTCCTCGTCTCCTTCCAGGTCCCCTCCCAGGTTCCTTTTCTCTGTTAATGAGACGTCCATTTGTCACACTGCAGGTCAGGGCACTCACGTACTCTGATGCCTTATGACGGTGGACACTGTGGACACTCCGCACAGATGTCCTCGGGTCCCTGTCATCATTGCCGTGCACTTGTCCTCCAGCTTATGAGTGCTTTACTTCTGGGCTGTCACCTCTTGGGAAGACTGCTCTCTGACTCTAAGCTGGACACACCAGAAGGTTGCATCCCACATGGCAGCCCTTAGCCAATGCCTGGCTGGTGTAGGGGTAGGAAAGTCCAGCTCCCTGGGCTCAACTTAGAAGGGCAATGCATTTCAGGGTTCTCCTGCGGGCTCAGGCTTCTGCTCCCCTCTGGGGGCCTTTGCCTAACATCACTCCCTTACTGGTTATAATAAATCACTCACACACGAACGCTTGTCTCATGGTTCTTTGGCATAATGGAACTAGTAATACCTGCCCCAAACACAAAGGGCCAAAAAGTCGTTTCAACTCTCCATTTCCTAATTCCAGCAACTTAGGCTAGAGACTTTTTTTCTTTTTTACTTTCCAGTGTGCTGCAACAAAACTCTAACTTAGTTTGCTTTATTTAATTCATTTATTCACCAAATAGCATTATGTCTCTGCTATATTGCAGCACTGCTCTTCTCCACTTAAATTTGTTTTCCATTAATTTGTCTTGAAACACCATTTTCATAAGGTCACCTTGTTGATCAAAACATTCCAGTGGCTCCCAGTCACCTAAAGAGGTTTTTCCTTAGGCTTGAGGAGTTTCCCTTATAGGGGAAATATATGTACATATATTCTCATGGACTTTAATGTAATATTTTTAATTCATTATAATTTAATTTCAACATGTATAAACATACAACTAGTTATAACTCCTTATACTGACAGCTTTGATATAACTATACATCCAGAAACAATTTTTAAATTATATTCAAATATAACTACAAAACCAATAAAATATAAATTCCCAACATTAATTTAATGTGACAGATGATGTTATTTTGCTCAACAAAATCGCTGGTCTTTAGTTTAATAGAGGAAAGATGTAATCTCAGGTTTGTTTATTAAATCTGTTTCTGTATTTCAACTTCAATAATGCTAATGCAAAGAATAACCATTCTCACAAGCATGCTGTCTAGAATTATATTAATCACTACAATTTTTTATTTCTAATTCAGGATAATCAGAACCAAAACTCTGCCTAAGAATAATCCTTACACGCCAGTTGTATTGAGACATACACTGATTACTCTGCACAACTATTTTGTTCACTTAAAGACAAGGCACTGCATTGTTATGGAAATCTTCATCAAATGAGTGTTTATTCCAAATGTCTTGGAACCTGGATCAAGCTAGGTTCCCTCAAAAGCAAACCTGAGACAAAGATTTGGAGTATGTGTTGATTTGGGAAGTGATCTTAGTAAGTACTGATAACAATGTGGGGAAATGACACAGAAAAGTAAGGGAGGCCAGTAGTACAGCATGCATCATGCATCCACAGGCAGGTTACGGCTGCAGGCAACTGGGCTCCGGCCACTGGAAACCTCAGAACCGGCCCACTGAGAGGTGAAGAAGCTGGGGTATTGATCCTCCAATTCCCCTTCATCATTGGTGCATGGCTGCTCCCCAAACTAACTCCCCAACGCATCTGATCTGCCCCAAGCACACCCCCACCAAGAGAAAGCCCCTAGGCAAGGACTCAGAGGTGCTGGTAGCTGCATGTCAGGCAGATTCAAGAAGGAGGGCCAACAGGTTGTGGGCAGGGCACCAATGCCATCTGTCTTGGGAGCAGATTACTTCTTCGTAAGTTGTTAACTGCCATACTGTCCAGTCCTGAAGGGGCTCAAGGTGAGTCTCACATGAGCCTAAGGGGAGCTGCTCACATGGGGAGGCCACTCACTCCGTAGGGGAAGTCTGGGGCGCCCATCCCCCTGGATGCTGGGTGCAGATCCGGTTTCCACAAGTTGTTCCAACCAACGACTGTGTGATCTTGATGTGCTGTGACACCATTTCGCCTCCACTTGGCAAGACCATCACAAGAAAACATAACTTAGAGGGCTGGTCTTTCCATAATATGCCCACAATGTTTTCTGATTATTATCAGAATTTAGAAAATAATCATAGAGAACTGCACACCCCCAAGCAATAAGTGCTAGGACCGCCAACGTGGTAGAGGGTGGAAGGGCAGCCCACTGACCTACTGAAGGAAAGTCTAATTAGCCTGAAATTCAAGATCCACTGAAGTCTACCCTCAAGCTTCCTTCATAAATTTTTCATAGTCAAATGGACCTACTAATAATGTAACAAGCACTCCTTGCACTTAATCCATACAAGATTCACACCTTTCATCCCACCTGGAATTCATCACGTTCTAAGTCCCACAGAAAAGCCAGGCCTTCCCAGATTACTCAGATTCACAACAAACTCACAATTCCTGACTCTCACATGCCAACTAACCACGTGCTACGTTCTCATATTGCTTTTTAACATTCCACGTGTTCATATCGCATATCCCAGCTAGGAAGCAGCATCTACAAATGAGACTGAGTCAACTGGGCTCAATGTAAGAAAGTAAACTCTGCGATCCACCCACCTGCTCATGGTTACAGATTCGGCTGTGTACCGTCATGACCTTGAGCCTCCACTTCTCCATCAGTAAAAGGCAGATGCTAGCACCCTACTCACAGTGTTGTTGTGTGGCTAAACATCTGAAAGCATTTTGCAGAGTACCTGCAATAGAACCGCTGCCCCCCCAAAATAGTTCTCCTTCTTGCTTTGCGAACTTTGAGTTTCATTGCATGGTTCTTTCCCACAGCCTTGAGAAATTCCAAGTACCATCGTGAAGTTCTGACCTTTGTGATGAGCTGAGAGACCTTTAGTTAAGCTGTGATTTTCTAATAATCTAAACAACCCACAACCACATTTTATAAGACACTATTCTGGGGAGAGGACATCTGGATCTCTCTCATCTTTCTCTTAAAAATTATCCTGTCTGCCCATAGAAAGATAAAGAATTGATAAGGAGATTCTCAGGGCCATGGTTACATCTTGTTTATAAGAAACTTCTTTATTTGGAAGGAACAGATGTTCCACTAAGGAATTTTTTACCAGTGCACACCCTATCCCAGAAGCATGTTATTGATTCACATGCAGAGTGGCCATGTGGCCAGGGACTGTGAAAACTTAAGTCTTTCCTCTTCATGGGAAAGTAGAATTAAGAAACTTGGTTTCCAGCACCCTGAAAACCAACAGCAGTTACGACTTCTAAAAAGTGACTTCACTAATCATTCGTGATTTTTTGCTTTGCTTTCTTTTCACTCTAACATAGACTGTTGAATTTTGCCTCATGCGGGCTGTTTCATCTTGCCCTTATTTCTACAAGGCCAAGACCTGTGGCATCCCAAACAATTTATCTTTCACCCACTGAGATGCACTGAAGGAGAACATTGAAAAATCATTTGTGTTCCTTAAAGGATAAATAATAAAACTATATAATAGCAGGCAACTTTTAAAAGGAAGATTCTCCTTGCACAAATGAGTTTTTAAATCTGCATGGCACAGTCTTCTGCTTTTCTTGAGACAAAAACCAGAAGCAGCAGGAAGTGTCTACCATTCACTGAGTATTTATATCAATTGAATTGCAAAAAACAAAATTCCTTTTCAGTGGGATGAGCCTTTGAAGCTGAGGTTATTAGGACTTAGAGGTGAACTGCTCGTGGGATCAGCAGTAGAAGTCTATTAATAAAATACCAAGTACAAGGCATTATATTAACTCTGCCACTTCATCCTGGGCCAGGAGTTGAAAAGCAGCTAAGCACTAAATGCTAGAGGTGAATTTTTTTATTTAGAATAATGGCCTGGATTCCTAAGGTTCCTTCTATTGCAGATATTCTCCCAAGATCTTCTTTTAATATTCTCCCAAAACCTTACAAAGAATTTTCACGGATATGTGCTTCGAAAATATGTGCTCTTATACGGTCAATTTTGCTAACAAGATTTGTTCTGATGGAGTTAGTTCCACCCTATGGCAAAATTTTCTTCCTTTTTATTTTAAAATAATGCCTGTGTATTGGTTAGAAAAGAGTTTGGCTGCAAGCAACAAAAAACTGAAATAATATATAGGTCTATATTTTTGAGGTGACAAGAAATTCAGTAGATCTGAGCTGCTTCAGCTGCATTGTGTATCAGCAAGGATTAAGGCTTTTCTACAACTTGCTTCTCTATTCTTAGAGTGTATGTTTTATCCTCATTGTCACAACATGGCTGCTGAATCTCCAAGCATCATGTCTGTATTCTAGGTGGAGAACAGGAGCAAGAAGCCAAAAAGAAAGTGCCAGTCAAGTCTAAACCTTTTTAAAGACCTCTGCCAGAAACCTTTGTATCTGGGTTATATGGCTTATATCTCATTACATAAGACTGGGTCAATTTACCATTTTCCAGCTGCAAAGTCTTGGATGTAAGTATTTTAAATGGGTTTATTTCCTTCTCAAAGAAAATCAAAGTTTTAATAGTATGTAAAAAGGGAATATAGGTAATACGCAGGTAACTAGCAGTGCCTGTCATATGAGGGTCTATGAATAAGAGTCATCTCTTAATAGAAAATCACTTACATTAAAAAAACTTACATTAAAAAAATCACTTACATTAAAAAATGTCTTCTTCTGTAGACATGTCTACTTTCAACAGGATCGTAAGCAGAGTTAGCCAAAACATCAAAACAGAAATGCTCATGTTGTTGAAGTCAATGAACCTCAGACATCAATAAAGTAATGAATTTTGGATTGCATTCTCTTTCCTGGAGTCATATATATCTCTGAAAACATTTAAGTTAAATTTAAATAGGTCTTTTTCGTCAAAAAACGAGTTCATTCCTAAAATCACCTGCTTTCAAAGCAAGATCCTCTGTGTTACATCCTATCATCTCACTTTTTCTATTTTAAATTAGAGTTCTATTCTTCTAAAAAGAATGTTGGTCACCTGAAATCATGTCCAAGAAAGACAGCAAACTTCAAAATCATACTTTTTTCCCTGTTTTTCCTATTAGAGTATTAAATATATCAGGGAAAGAACCATATCTACTTTGTTCATTATGTACCCCAGGCATTCACCACAGGATCTGAAGTATAGAAGATAGTCAGTATTCCATAAACAACCTTATGTATTTAAAATAATAATTATTGTTTTCCTAAAAGTATTGCTATGGGAGCTCAAAATAAGTTTAACAACTATAAAACAAGTAGTTTAAAGCAAATATAAACAAGAAAATATCATGATTTAATCATCTTAATCTGCAGAGGTATTAGATACAATTCAAGACTAATTTCTGAATGAACAATAACAACAAACTCTTAATAAATTGGAGAAAAAAGTAAACTTCTGGGACATAATGAAAAACATCTATCTCAAATCAACAGACAAGATCACACTCTAAAAACCCAAACAGCAGTCCCATTAAAATCAGAAGCAGTACAGAAAAATAAAATAAGCCTTTCTTTTTTGCCAATATCATTAAACATTTTTTTTAAAACCTGCCTAATAAAGTTAGACTAAAAAATAATTTTAAGTACAATTATTGGAAAGGATAAGACAAAACTAATGGCTGATTATATGACCAAGAGAATTATTATTCAAGAGAATCAACTGAAACACAATTAGAAATAAAAGTTCAGTTGACTAGTTACAGAATAAATGTTGAGAATATGCCAGCAATAATCCAAAAACATTTGTGATATAAGGTCAATGAAAAATTCAGGTTTTAACACACACAGGCACACACACAAATGACTATCTCAATACTGAAATAAAAACGGAAATAGATTTATAGAGTTAGAGGTATATGTAATTGAACCTCACCAGTGTTTTGACAAAACAGCATTATATTAAGAAACCCCTGTTGCTGTTCAGCTGTGGGCATCCTACAGTGTAGTCCCGGTGAGAAAATGCCATCAAAATAATCAACATGGGGCCCAGGAGCGTACATAGCTGAGATCTTGAGCCAGACACCCAGAGTTGAAGCTATTCGGTTCCTCTGTCCACACTTTCTTAATCAATGTGTGTCTGTCTAAGCGCTCACTCACCCCCCATTCTAGCGTGGTTTCAACTCTCCTGATGATGGTCGCTTGCTATGTCAAGTCGTCCTCAACAGCGCATTCTGTAAATGGCACAGAGCCTTTATTTTATGGGAGGTCATCCCGAATCCACCCTCCAAATCTGGTTTAAATCAATACAGACCAAGAGCTAGAAAGTTAATTTTATTTTCATTGATAGATCAAAGCTGAAGAGGAAATACACTAAAACATTTATAATGGGATTAGAGATTCTTAGGTTTTTGTGTTTTTATTGTATTTCCAGATTTCCTACCATGAAGAGGCAATACTTTTGGAATTTTTTTAAAATCTTGATTCATCCCTTTCCCTCATTCTTCATTTTCATTTCCTATCCCTCGGCAAGTCTTGCCAGGGTATACCTCAGATCTCAAATCTGCAAAATATATCTCACATCTGGCCAATGCCTTTCTCGCTGGCTATGACCCTGGTCCCAGGCACAGTCATTTCCTCCCTGGCTAACTGTGATAAACTCTTGATTCATCAGCTGCAATAGTTCTTCCCTCCACTACAGGTCAGAAGAGGCGTTCGTAGGTCACACAGAAGGGCGTGAACGCTGACAGGAAGTAAATACTGAGGAAGGGCTATCACAGCTGCCAAGAGACGGACCACCACACCAGGAGGGTGGTGAAGACCTATTCAGTTCCAAGTCCAAGCAACATGCATCCTCCTAATCAATTCCTTCTTTCCTGGCTTAATTTCAATATATCTCTGAGCCCAATAAAAAGAGTCTAGAAGGATAAGGCAATGAGGGAAGGCCAGACATTTTGAAATAAAAGAGTAATAAGTGAGCACAGACTAAGCTGAGGTAACAGTTACTACTGGATCTGACTAGGCATCCAGTGAACAACTGCAGCCTCTATGCAAATTTCGTGTACAATTGGGCAGCCTTCAAATCAGTGTGGAATTACGAACTATGCAATAAATGTGTCTGAGCACATTGGGGAGAGGAGGCCATTTTAAGTTAAATCCATTTAAGTTAAAATGAATTTGAGACCATATTTAACTGTTAATTTAATCAATTTATATTTATTTTTAGATATGTGATTGGGTGATTTAATTAATTAAAGTTATACATGTCAAAAATCCCATCAGTAAAAAAGAAAGGCAAATTGCCAGGTGTTAAATGGCACTGCCATCATAGAGGCGATAAAGGTTGTGGTTTTAATAAAAGGCGTGCTCTTACTTAACATCAACAAGGAATGCCTCCCTTTGGAAAATGAGCAAAGAACATGAACAGACAAACCATAAAAGAAAAAACCCACACAGCACATAAACATGAAATAAGTTCAGTTTTATCTGTGGTCAGTAACTACAAAAAAAAAAAATGAATAAAGTGTGCACAAAACAAGCTGATATTGCTTACTGTTGAGAGTGCCGCTGTGAGACGGGCATTCATGGTCTTCTGATGGAAGTATAAACTGGAACCATAATTAAGTATCACTGTTCTTAAAACATACAAAAATATTTATATCCACTCCTAGAAACCAACACACACAAAGACTTCTTTACAAAGACATTTATTGCGATATTACTTATAATAGTAAGAACAGGGCAACAATCGACAATATTAGTTAATGAAAACATTTTA